TGAACAAAGTTCAACCGGAGCGACTGGTGATCATCAGCAACACACCTGCAGAGCAGTATCGTCTGGAGGGGGTGAAGAGCTTCAAGCACTACAGCACCCTCCCCGAGAACATCGAGGAAATGAACATCGAGCCGCACACGTATGTGATCATTGATGATATTCGGGTCATGTCACTCAAGCACGGTGATCAGCGTGAGTGTCTCTACAAGTTCTTCACCATGTACAGTCATCACTACAAGCTGAACGTATTCTTTCTCTCACAGAGCTTTGATAATATCAAGGATATGAAGATCAATGCCAACTTTCTCTATCTATTTCGCTTTACCGACAAGAGTAACATCAAGCGCTACCTGAACACTCTGTTTGGTGGGCAGTGCATCAAGTCTGGTCTCGTGTTTAGACTGTACGAAAAGCTTCTCACTGCATGCCAACGCCCTATACTAGCCATTCACTGCTCACGCAACGAGTATTCCACCTATTGCAATGATGATACATACAAGGTTCTGTTTGAATAGTAGATTCTTTGAAGCCAAACGTACGTGTGATAGTTAACATTGCCGATTGATGAATTATTTTCTACATCTGCGATTGTCTAAAATACACCTTCCTGACCCACCGCCCCATCCTTGTCAAATTTGGTGTGTGTTTACCTCGCATGTGTGTGTGAATAGACTGGTGAACAAAGCAGAAGGGGATTGATTTTTGAATAATAATAAATTCTCCTTCTAGTTAGGGTAATCATGGAGCGCCTCACCGTTCGATTCAGTAAGGGTCTCCCGAAGAGTATCACCCGTACTGGAGGATCTGACGAGAGTGCTTTCATGATCCCGAAAACGAAACGATTGAAGACCCTCGAATACATGCAACGACACTCGCAGTACATTGTCAAAAGAAGAAAATCATCATGGGATGTTGTGGGTACACTACCATCATCATCATCAACCCGACGCCGTCGCGGTGTGTTTGAGGGTCGTGGTGGCGGTAGCAGCTATGGTGACTTTTTGAGAAATGCCAAGAAGGCATTGGAGTACATACCGGATCACACGTTGGGTAGACTATCACGCGGGGAGCTTCAAAAGCACCCACACATCAAGAGCCTGTATGAGCGTCACTTCAAGAACAACCCCGACCTCATCAGCTATGATTCCGTTCTGAATGTGATTGCGTCTGATCTTCTCAACTACGATGCAAGCACTGGCGCGGTTCGAGAGTCCATCGCCGATGTGAGGTTGAAGAAGAAGATGCCCACCTCTACTCTCTCGTTAAGCATCACCAAGGACTCCGACTTTGATCGCATCCTTCTACAGAGTCTCTCAGATGAACTAGCACGGCGAAACATTCCCATGGTGTTTGTGAAAAGCAGCTACTTCACCGCTCGTGCGCAACTGCAACAGCTTTTCCAAGACAACCCAGCCACGTTTGCAGGTGCTTTGGAGTCTGCACGACAACGTGTGGAGGCCGTGATCTGGAGAGATTACATGACGCTGGTGAATGAAACGAATCGCATCTATTTGTCAAAGTATCCTTTCGAGAGGATTGCCCTGCGTGATATCGGGCTCTCTACACTCATGCCCGGCTTCTCCAGCTTCCAACCCAAGCTGCAGACTATCATTCAACTATCTCTCGCAACCCCTGGATCGGCAGGTCACAAGTTCAAAGGATTGGAAGAAATGTGGCAGACGTATGCCGCCACCCTGGAAGCACAGCTTATGAATCCGGACCACTTCATGCATGGTCTGCACAAGGTGTTGACTAACGATACAGATTTTGTGATCTCAGTCTTGAAAAACAGTAGCCGCTCCCTGGCTAAAGTCTCCAATATACTCAAAGGAAATTCCTTGTAATAGCAATAATAGGAGCACACCCAACCTCGTGGAATGGATGTACCGCTGAGCAATGTGCACATCGAGGATTGCCTGCGACATGTGAGTGGTTTTCGAGGAGTGTCCAGCTACGATCTTCTCCCTCACGCTCTCCAGGATGGAGAGTTTTGCATTGTCAACACAGACAACGTTATACCCGTGTATGACCCACCTCAGGGTGGACACCACTGGTTGACAGTATGCCGAGAGCGAGATCGCGTGCTCGTGTTTGACAGTTTTGGACGCACGCTGAAAAGAATGGAACGTGACTATCACGAGCCCGGTTTGGAGCGCTACTTCGCAGAGGGTTTCACCGACTGCTCACTCTACACAAACACCCAGGTGCTGCAGAATCCTGCCACAGCGGTGTGTGGACACTATGCTATCCTGGTCGGACGACTCTTTTGCAAGTTCAGGAGCATCACCGAAACCCTGCGTGCACTGTCCTGCCAGTTCACCAGTGACACCGCTCAGAATGATCGACTGGTGCTGAGCATGACTGGGGTCCGCGGCGCTGGTGGTAGAGCGCTTGGTAGGGGTAAAAATAGCACACGCAAGAGCACAGATGACAGCTGGATGGAGGGTCTGGCACACGATTTGCACAGACCACGTCGCGTACGCTTTCCACGCAGAGCAGTTGTTGTACAGGATCTCGATGGAATTTGGAGTGCAGACCTAGTTGACATGCAAGCATTTGCCAAGTACAACAAGGGTGTTCGACACCTGCTCACGGTCATCGATCTCTTCAGCAGATATGCGTGGGTGATGCCTCTGGAGCGGAAAACTGGGGTGAGCGTTAGAGATGCATTTCAAAGGATCATCGTGCAAAGTGGACGTTCACCTCGAAAACTGTGGGTGGATGAAGGCACAGAGTTTTACAATGCAACATTCAAACGCTGGCTGTCCGACAACGACATTCACATGTACAGCACCCACAACGAAGGCAAGGCAGTCGTTGTGGAACGCTTCAACAGAACACTCAAATCACGCATGTGGCGCTACTTTACGGCTAAATCAACCAATGTGTATGTGGATGTGCTACCGCAACTGGTACGCAACTACAACAACAGCAAGCACCGCAGCATCAAGATGACTCCCACTGAAGCCTCCCAAGAACCGAATGCACCCTTCGTTCAGGATCATCTTGAATCATCCAAAAGATCACATGCAAAACCCCGCTACAGCACAGGTGATGAGGTTAGAATCACAGTCAGCAAGCGACACTTTGAAAAGGGGTACACACCCAATTGGACTGAAGAGGTGTTCATCATTGATCGTGTGCTAACAACACAGCCCGTCACCTATCGCATACGAGACCTCATGAATGAACCCATCATAGGCAGCTTCTACGAGCAGCAGTTGCAGAAGACCACACAAACCCGATTTCGGGTGGAGAAAGTCCTTCGCAAGAGAAACGGTAAATCCCTCGTCAAGTGGAAAGGCTATCCGGATAAGTTCAACACATGGATCAGCACCAATCAATGGGAAAAACTCTAAAGAAAACTACTTGCTGATTATTCGCTATTGCTGAAAAAGCATGATGAAGTTCTAACAAATAATTCATTGGATATTCTAACATGGAGATTCATTGCATCATCATCACTATCTCAATATGTATGGCTATAGCTGTATGAAAATCAAGTCAAAATCTCAATGCTGGTAGTTCATTGTTTACTGTAACGCGTGCGAGGGTTCAATGCGGCGATGACCGTATGCCAGCGTGGATACACCATCGGGCTGAATGTATCTTTTACTGTCGAATGGCGAGAGTGAGGTCTTCGTAACTGTTTCGGTGAAGATGCGATGATCGTGGCTTCTCAGCGCAGTCATAGGGTGAGCAGAGGTGCGTCTTTCTGTTAGACAACGCTCGTAGTCGCGGATGGTGAACTTCTTCGTCACGCTTCTTTTGACGCCCTTGGCCCGCTGTCCGCTTTCCTCACCGTTGTATGAGTACATCTTGGAGCGTAAAGCTACGAATTCACTCATCATTTTTCCGCCTAGCTCGTCTTTAAATTTACCTACTTTCTTCTTATTCACCTGGCTGTATAGCGGGTGATCTGTGGGGTAGTTGCTGGTGTCGTACGCATCCAAGTCGCTCATCATGTCCGCGTACAAGTCATCCGTTTCCAACTGGAGGATGAGGGAATCCGTATCGGTATACAGCAGTCGCACACGCTCGGCATAGTGAGACTTGAGATTGAAATAGTAGTAGCGATACATCAACTCCTTGCTGAGATCTAGTACACTCATTCCGATGTACACGGGCTTGTTGAGGGAGACGCGGATTTTTCTGTTTTCAACGCCAACGAGGTCATTGTCAAACATGACGTGTCTAACATACGTCGGCTTGGCTACGGCTGTGAGGATCCTGTCCTCATCATCGTCTGCTCGCAGCAAGCGGATGTTCACTCTCCTTCGCACATTCTCCATAGTTTTGCCAAATACGGCATTGTTCATCAGCTTGAAATAGTCTCTTTCAAAGTCGTTGGCAGCTTGTTTGCGAAGCTCTGTGTTTAGCTCGATGTACGGCTTCATCCAAGCTTCCTGCTTGAAGCGTAGTACACGGTGTACACAGTCGATGGTTAGTCCAAGTTTGGAATAAAGCTGTAGGTTGCGATAGTGGAGCACATACCGTTGCTTGCGCATGAGATGAGGGACCAGTTTAGGTGAGGATAGTCCGGTGATCGACATACTCTTCATCAGGTCGCGTTGGTATGGGGAGAGCATCTCCTCGCTGATGGTCATCTTCTCCGGTGCTGGTGGGTAGTCGTTGAGCAGGTCGTGCAAGTGATCTGGTACGGTGAGATCGCATTCAATCATGTAGCCTAGCGAGGCATCGTCCGCTTGAGTGAGGATGCTATCCAGGAGCTCGCGTGTCGGTGGGCACCACTCAAAGTGCGATACTGGTAGATGCTGTGACATCGCCCAGCCATAAAGATTATTGGCATCTAAATACTGGAGATAGGTGGATGGTTTGGTCTCATCATAGCTCTTCATGTACCTGTTGCATGTGGGGGGTATAAATACGCATGCACGCACACATACACATACAGACAGATAGACACATAATGAATATATAGAAGAATGACTCAACTGACTACACACACACATACTTTACAAAAACACATACTAGTACTCAAAAGTTGTAAGGATGTGTTTCATGCATTCACACACATACATGCACATACCTGTTGTTTGCCTTGCCATGTCGATGTGAAGCCATTGACACCCCACCACGGAGACCACGCTCGATGAATAGGTGCATATCCACATCACTCAGAAGAGAGAGGGATACCTTGGTGTACTTCAGCAGGGCATCCCAGGCGAGTCCGGGGAGAGTATAGTAATGTGCCGGATCGAGTCCGTATGTGTTCATGGCTGTGACTCGGAATGTCTCAAAGACGTCAGCCAGAAGATTTACATCAGTATTGAGGTATAGATCATGGTAGTCTCCCATGTTTCTGCACTTGAACGCAGACCAGACGCGTTGAGCATGCTCATAGTCATCATCGCTGATGTGGCTTTCCGTCAATGAAGAGAAGAACTCGTCTTTGGGTGGTAGTGATGTCTCATCAAACACCGCTGTACTGGTTACATATTCATACGGGTAGACTCCTTTGCGAGTAAGCAGCTCAAACAGATCATCAGCTGAAGTATCATCATGGTAAATGTTGGTGGTAGATGAATCGTCGCTGCTACTGCTGCTGCTGCTGCTGGCATCCATACCGTTGATGTTGGTGTGGGTGAGTCTAGAGAATGAGCTCAGATGGTGAAATGAGTCTTTGGGTGTGTTCTTTACAAGCCTGTCCAGCGAAGCATTCAAGAATGATAGGCTATCCACAAAGCGGAATCGCCCCCAGCTGAAGGAGATATAACGCTCCATGTTGTTAGGAATGATCTTGATCTCACCGGATTTCTTGATCTTCTTTCTTCCGCCACTCATGTAGGTTGTGCTCTCCGATGAGGTGACGCCAATGGCTGAAATGAGTGGGTGGGCGTCATAACCTTTCAGATTGTGGAAAACTACCGGGATTGGATGAGTCTCTGGTGTGATCCTCAGGTTGATGTTGCACTTGCTGTGAGCTGCACCGCGGTATTTACCCGTGATGTGGTCGTGGTCTCGCACTCGATCATCACCCAGCTCATCGCTGCAAATCCAGCACTCATTCGCATTTTTAAACCGCTGCTGTTCCTCCGCTGACATGTTCATGGGTCGTATGTGCTGCAGGTCATTGGTGATTCTTTCATCCTCTCCCTCGAGCTCCTCGAAAAACGATTCAATCGGGTTTTCTCCTGTATAACAATCGTGTACACGCAAACACACACAAACACAAAATAGAAATAAGATACATGTCTATACATGTCTATACATACATGTACATGTATATGAAGATAGACTGTTGAAATGCGGCAAGTCAATTCATACGTAACTAGTAGTAACAGTATGATAGTTTACTTCTACAACATATAGACAGTGAACGTTGGCATGCGTGAAAACAATAAAGAGCAGCATTTGTATTTATGGAGTGTGACTCACCTCTGTAAAGAAATCGCCTCGTCACCTCTCCATCTGACCGCACTACGATGTAAGCAATTCCACAGGGTTCATGCTCTGCATTCCGAATAGTGTGGGCTCCATGCTGCCCCGAGCTGGGTTTGAGAACACTCTCAGTGTCAGCGTAGATGATATATGGCATCTTCATTCTCCGCTTGGTCTCCGTGAAAGTGAGCGTCTCACCGGGTTCTGGTAGCTTGATCACAGCAGGCTTCGCGTCGGCGCAGTACAGTTGGTGTCTGGCGAGAGTCTGCGGAGATCGGTGACCGGATAAACACCTCATGCAAAAGTAGGTCCTAGTCTTGCACTTGTTCAGATGATAGCATAGCGCATCAAAATCTTTGATCCAGCAGAAATGGCTTGCCAAATCTTCATGAAGGAGCAGGAGGTTGATGGTGCTGGCATCGTTTTCATGGTCTGTCAACTTCAATGGGAAGAGACAGTCACCTTCAAATCCAAACACATTGATAACTAGATTGTTCGCAGTCTCCACCTAACAAAACACATACACATACACACACACACACACACACACACAGAAACAACAACTCATTGTGACTATGTACATACATCATGGTACACATACACTAGCACATTGATCGAAGTATGATTGGAAGGATTACAATTACTCATTCCTCATCCAAACTCACCTTATACACATCCGCAAGAGTTGCAGGAAAGTCCACATCATCAAAGTTCAGGGTTTGTGCGTACGACTGGTACTTTGTAACGCGTTGAGCATCCTTCTCAGCTGGGTGTAGTGCGGATAGAAGTGCCCATTTCAGACACTGATCATCGGTATTACGAACGTTGATCACCCCCTTCGTCTTGGAGATCTTCTGCGGGAGAGGTAGATAAGATGAGCCGCGCATGGGGAGATACTTGGCAATGTCAATGTGCACGCTTCGCACCCGAACCACAGTCCAGCCAGAGCCAGCCTGAAGCCATCCATCAACCTTGGATAAGATCTTGCCGAAGGCGTTGGATAGTTGATCATCAATGCCATGTGGATTCAGAATGGATATGGGAGCACTGCGGAAAAATGGCGATGCTGAAACAGTAGCTCCGGATGCATCGCTTCTCTCCATGATGATGCAGATCACAAGAACGGTTTTAAATTGCTGCACCTCCAACTCCCTCAGCAAAACACTTCGCATATTTTGTGCAAGTCCATTGAGCACTGGGAGCACATCTCTGTGATGCTCGTCTAGATCCGCTCGGTACTCTTTTAGGAAACCACGCGGTACGGTATGCTTTAACTCAAAGACGCTCTCCACGCTCAATCTCGATTGCTTTGGCGAGGGCGCACCCTCACCAGAAGAACTAAAACGCTTCATCACACCTCTATACAATTATGAAGATATCTAATGTACCCCCATTGTTCTTATACATACGTAGATGTAGTTGAGAGATGGTGCGTGTTTTTATTTTTATGGATAATAGTATGGATGTGTTAGTTGGATATATTTCAATACGCTCACATCTGACACCTGTAAGCACACTCGAGGCATGCCGCTGGCTTATTCATATGACGATGTCATAATTGGAGACATTACATCACAAATGTGAGTCTAGACAATCTCAAAGACATTGCTCACATCTGCAAGCAGAACCAAGGTATAGTGACATTATCACCATGTGCTGTTATCTGTAGAGACTTTGCTATGCAAGTAATTAGTTGGAGCAATCTCAAAGATCCCACTCGCATATACCTCTCTGTAGAGACTTTGCTATGAAAGTAATTAGTTGGAGCAATCTCAAAGATCCCACTCGCATATACCTCTTGATGTGCATCAAGAATGCAACTCCATAATTGCAAACATTGCATCACATATGGAGATTAATCTCAAAGACGCCGTCCACATCTCCAAGTGGGTGTCTCTAGAGACTTTGCTGTGCAATCTCACAGACTCTACATGCATATACTTCGAGGTATACTGAATTTGCTGACATGTATTCTTAGGTCCTCTCAGGAGACTTTGCAGAGGAGGAGTCGGGCGGCAGATCTCAAAGACAGCCGCGGACTGCAAACAGACTAGGAGCATATTGATTTTGTCTTATCTACGTTGGTAGGTATTCAGGTAAACAAGTCTCGGCAGTAGCTGTGCAGCTGACTGTTCACAGTATACAATTATAATGCATTTGTATTCTATTAGGACTAGTCAGTTGCAGGGTATAAATAGCTATGATCTGCTCACCCTCAGTATCAGTTTTTAGAAACAATTACTAGTAGCCCTCTCCAGTTTTTTCAACACCTTCAAACATGCTTTCCAGAACCTCAATGGAGTTTGTAGTGGATGGTGTTTCTAAGGGTCTTCAGACCCGACATAAGTCGAGTGGTAAGAAATACCCAGAACTTGCAGCAGGGTGGAGCTTTCACTACACCGAAGGCCCCCTATCTGCGATAAAAGTGAAGGGAGTTGCTCGCAAGGGCAAGTATGGACAGGTGGTTGTCGAGCTCAGCAAGGAGCTCCGATGTGTGATTGCAGCGCTCTTACGAGTATCACCCTCCATACGGAGAGCGCTTCAAAGTGAGAGGGTAGACCGAATAGCAACCAACTTTTATCCAACGAAGATTAGCAATGGAGATGGGACAACTAAACACGGCTGTGACGTGTATATGAAGGGGACATCTACGGTACCCATTGAAGCGTTCAAGGTGCGAACGCTCGAGGAATACTATGTCTACCCCGCGACAGTTTCATGGAAGAAAGAGAGCAGGACGTACAAATGTACCCTGGGGGTCATCCCCTGTAACCATGTCGGGGAGGCTAGGACTACCCAACGTACATGCAAACCGGGCGAGGACAACATCCTAATTGTTCCCTGTGATACGATTGATCAACTGATGAAGACTTTTGAAGAGAAGTGGACATCAGCATCATCCACAGGAGAAGATCATGAGGAGGATGATGATGCGCTTGCCGAGCTGTTCGCCTGAATGCTGGTAAGCAATGTGTTTTTCAATACAATAATTGTACAACCCAACCCAGACATGCAAACACCCCTCCGTACTGTACTCACACACATACACTTACACACTTATCACTTCTCGCTGAAAACTCTTCTTTTTCTGGTTTCTAGTAGTAGTAGTACCGGTAGTAGTAGTAGCAGTAGTAGTAGTATAAGACGTATGAAACAGATGTGTAGGTAGTTAGAAGAAACACTTGTATGATAGATGTGGAACTAGTAAGAAAGAAACAGATATGAAAGAACTCCACTTGGAGTGTGGGTATAAATTATTATTAGTTCGGTCTTACGATGTGTGCTTTGTAGGCTACACTCTTTATCTTGATCTCTCGTCCCGAGTTGAAAATGAATCGACTTCGTTTTCTTATCTTGCTAACTCTCACTTTCATCCGTCCATCATCGATTGGGATTTCTTGAAATGTAATTGTCTCGCTGTTCTTGACGCGAACTATTTCATCTCCTTCTTCCTGCACTTGGGGAGGGTTATTAACTTGATTCTCCATCTGAAAGTCACAATGTAAAAAACAAAACAAAAATGTAGAATTAACTTTATCCTACTCTGCTGCATACAGCAGCGTTGGGTGAGTTGTTGATTGAAAGGTGGCATTTGTTTTCTTGGTGTACTTCCCTATGTCCAGCTATACAAGATCAGGGATCAGGGTGGTGATGATCAGTTCGAACGGGTAGTTCTCTGTACTTTATCCTACTCTATGTGAATGTGCTATTATTATCCTACTCTACTCACAATGTAAAATTAATAATGTCCAGCTATACAAGATCAGGGTTGTGATGATCACTTCGATCAGTTCGAACGGGTAGTTCTCTGTACTTTATCCTTCACTATGCGAAATGTGCTATTATTATCCTACTCTACTCACAATGTAGAATTAATAACATACCTTGTTCTTTCTTCTTTCTTCTTCTTCTTCTTCTTCTTCTTCTTCTTCTTCTTCTCCTTCTTCTTCTTCTTCTTCTTCTTCTTCTTTTACTTCTTCTTCTGCGTTACACGAGTTCACCTTCTTCTTCTTCTTCCAATAGTTTTCAGCAAATACTGTTTTCTTCTGAATAAGTACTGAACTGGGAATCCTACTTGTGTACATTGAGTATGGTGTGCCAGAACATTCGAGCGGCTTTGTCGTTTCATGTGGGGACGGTATTATCATAGCTTCCAATGCCGCTCACCAAGCTAGCTCCAACCTGTCATCGTTTAGGTAGTGATAGTGTGTGTGCTAGCATACAGAACATACGAGCGGCTTTGCTCTTTCATGTAGAAATAGCTTCCAATACAATAATGTCATGGTTAGCTCCGACAGTGTCCGCATGCACAACCATGTCAATGCTCGGACTTAGGTAGTGATAGTGTGTGTGCTAGCATGTAGAACATTTGAGCGGCGTTGCTCTTTCATGTGTGGGTAGATAGCGTCTCCTGTCATCTCTGAACGTGTTAGCATGTACAAACATTGTAGATCTCCTGTCTCCGTCACCCACAACATCCCAGTGACATTGATAGATTGATGCAGCGCTGTCAGCATGTACATACTCCATGTAGTGGTGGTTTCTAGAGCTTTAGTACTAGTGAGCACGCTGGGGTCATGAGCCTCGAGGATCTACTAAGTAAGTAACATTGATAGATTGATGCAGCACTGTCAGCATGTACATGTACATACTCCATGCAGTGGCGGTTTCTGGAGAGTGAGCACACTGGGGGAGGCTTATATACATGTATATACCAGCAAAAATTCAGCATACGTAGAGTGCACTTGCAGATGTAAGCAAAGATATGCAAGTGTTTAACGCGAGTGTTACAGGAAAACGAAGATTCATCCTATTCTGATGACGTGTATCGCAAAAACTGAGTTCTCACAACACCCCACATGCATATTAGTCACAAACATAGTTTAATCGTGACATTTCTGGTAATCACGTGATTGAAACACGTCAACACGTCAAAATATAGCCATGTCGAAATAAACTGTCAAAAAGTGACAGGTTCACGTCAAAAAGTGACAGGTTCACGTCAAAAATTGACAGGGTCATGTCAACATATCGAAAGGTCACTTCCGGGGTCAACTTTGCGCTAGAACCCCCCTCGTACCTTCTACTGCTGGCACCCGCATTCAGTGACCCAGAAAATTTGGCACTGCTGTGAATAGTTTAGTCGCAAAGTGAAGATTCACGGGTAAAAAGCCCCAAACTTCTAGATAGGTTCTTTTTCAGCTTTCAGCAGCCCTGGGTGAGTTCTTTAGAGAAATGTGGCTCTTTTTCATGGTGCTATTTTCTATGTCCAGCTACACAACGAGATGAGAATGGTCATTGTCATTTTCTGAGCTGCGAACGGGCAGAAAGGTGAGAAAATGTCGGATTTTGACCATTTGTGCTGACCTTTCAATTTCAACGTACCTATCTATAACATGACCAGGCTGTAATTTCAGTGGTCGCATTGGTTTGATTTTT